ACCAATAATAAAATTAATACACTATATCCCATCTAGAAACGTTCAGTTAAACAGTTGGCAGGCTCTTATAAAACCTTTGGGTGGATTTTGTGGACCTTTGGAGGTGCGGACGCATCCGCTGCCTCCACCTGATTCGGATTGCGTCATGCAAGACGTACAGCCTACAGTGGTTTCGAGTTTTGGGTACTTCGTTTTCGAGATTTGAGTGCTTCGTTTTCGAGATTTTGGGGTCTTCGTTTTCGATCTAGGGTGCTTCGTTTTCGAGATAGGGTGCTTCGTTTTCGATCTAGGGTGCTTCGTTTTCGAGTTTTGGGTGCTTCGTTTTCGAAGGTTTAGGGTGCTTCGTTTTCGAGATTTAGGGTGCTTCGTTTTCGATCTAGGGTGCTTCGTTTTCGAGATTTGGGTGCTTCGTTTTCGAGTTTTGGGTGCTTCGTGCTTCGGTCTTCGTTTTCGAGTGCTTCGTTTTCGAAACTACCGTACACTTATTGGGAAGAGAGGAATCAACTAATACACTCGGTGCGAATTTCATTCGGTCGAAGGGGCGCTACTTCTTTACAGTTGCCTGCGTGCAGACGTCTCCTATTTCCTTTGTTGCACGCGGAAAAGGAACAAAGGAAATAGGAGACGTCTGCACGGAGGCAACTTTACAGCAGTGTTATTATTTCGTGCACGTTTCTATAATTTACTTTGGCGTACACAAATTTATATTTTGAAGTGGGATTCACACTGTTCTGGGGAAAATATTACGAAGCAACGGGTAAATAAACGCCATCTTGACCGTTTCGATGGGAAAGTGCGATCGGTGATAACACCGGTCAAATCAAATCGGATTAAAACGCCGTAGCATAGAAATGAACATCAAAAGATAGAGCTACAACCTGAGGCGTATCATTATAACAGGAAAAATTCGAATACACTCAAAAACGTATCTTTATTTAACAAGACCTGGACGAGGCCACAAATCACTTCGCGTGAAAACAGGGCGCTTGCTAGCCACCTTTTCATGTCTCTTCCTCTCCATTTGACCTTTCCAGCTCGAACATTGATCATAGGGGCCGAAAATAGTAACTGCGCATAAAATATTAACTTCTACAAGCTTCTTACTTAAAGGCTTGGAAAAAATTATGACCCTCCCCCCAAAAATAGTAGCCCAACCCCCCCGCTAAATAATGACCGGTCCCTAAAGAGACGCACTACAACTGGTTAATACGAGGGTTCTATAACGAGAAAGCCGCAACCGACGCTAAGTACGCAGAACACTAAAACTATCTCAAAAACTTTACTGAAGTACAGAGCACTTACGCATGAACGTTTGCAATGTCGCTGCTAGGAATGACCTTTCGTTAGGGCCGAAAAGCACCCGTTCTTCTTTGCAAACTCTTCCAATGTGATAAGCCGAAGCTCGTAGGTTTTGGCAGTCTTCTCGTCCAGAGCTTGGCTTTCATTTTTGGCTGCAAGCCTGGCTCCTGTAGCAAGATTTGGTCCTATCATCTCAGATATACCTACATCCCGGTCACACTTTCTCAGCCATAAGCGGGTGCGCTAACTTCGCGAATTAATTGACAACCCAGACTGTTGACAACCACAGGAAATGATTCGATATATATTGTTAATTATTAAACCAAGCTATCTGAATGGCTTATCTTGTAGAATATCTACAGCGCCCTGTAGTGTTAAGCTACGCAGTAATTACCGAAGAATAATGGCTCATTCTTTTGTATCTGGAAAGCAACTGAGGAAAACACAACAATTAAAATGAACAACATTGAAATTACGACGAACAGGAGATTCATTCACGTCGCGTGTCACGGAAATCGCAGACAAAGAGAGACTGGTCAGGTCAAGTGGAGTCTGAAGTGGAGTCACAGATTGTACGAAGACCGCTACAGAGTTTCATCCCTTGTCTCTTTTCTCTTCTCGTGAGATCGAGAGTTTTAAATAGTTACCATGACAACATTAGAAACGTGAGACGAGATTTGAGCGTCTTATTTACGACGCGCCAGACAAGCAAGCGTATTATGTTTAGCAAACGTCCCTGATCTGATTCAAATCAATTCTAAAACGACTCATAAAGACACAGGAACACAGGTAAATACATTTTGTTATTTTATTAGCTAATAATACAGCATAAATACATAGAGATTACTTCATGGTTGGTGAGTGCGTACGATTTTTATTCATATTTTATTTATTTTTATTCGCAGCGCTCACTCGTTCGTTTGCGATGCTTCACAACAAGTGAATAAAAATCGTACAAGCGAACCAACCATAAAGTTATTTTTTTCCTTTTATGGTGGGCTAGATTCCTCTAGTGTGAGCTTTGGTGACTGATTAACTGTGTTTATTTTGATTGAAAAATTGCCCCCTTTAATGACAACCGCGCTGAACAAGGCCATAGATTGCTGTGATTCAGGAGTAGATGGAGTAATCGCTGGATTGGCGTTTTTGTACCAGGACGTCTTAGTTGCAGTACCAGCTACAACACTGCTAAGAACTTGAGACATTTTCATCTGCTGTTTTGTCCAGACCTTGCTGTAGTTTTCGATACTTTTTAGATTTTTATGTCCTGACAACTGAGCGATATGAGTCGGTGGAATATCATTTTCGCTGAGTGTATCATAGTTTTTCTACCACTGTGATTTCGGAGACGTTCGTTGTCTATTCCTGCTTTTTGAGTCATAGTTTAAGTTGTTGTTGACAGCTAAGTAAAAGGGAGAATCGTCTTCATTCATTTTCTCAGGTCTCTTCTGGGCGTAGAGCGTGTAGACCTCGATAGGATCTTTTTCTGATCCATCAGTGGCAAACATTTTAGGCGGCACTGCCCTGATATCGCGGCAGTCTGAACCGGTTCTTGTTTTGGTTTGTCTTTCATTAAATTCCAAATACTACTTGCCGTCAGCTGTTTCCTTCAACTTTACATCGCCCCAGCAGATTTCTCTATGTTCTTTGCAACCTCTGAGGCCAAAATGGATATTGCTGTTTAACCAGAGTGTGTTTAACAACGCGTCAGGATTTCGTGTACCGNTTTATTTTGATTGAAAAATTGCCCCCTTTAATGACAACCGCGCTGAACAAGGCCATAGATTGCTGTGATTCAGGAGTAGATGGAGTAATCGCTGGATTGGCGTTTTTGTACCAGGACGTCTTAGTTGCAGTACCAGCTACAACACTGCTAAGAACTTGAGACATTTTCATCTGCTGTTTTGTCCAGACCTTGCTGTAGTTTTCGATACTTTTTAGATTTTTATGTCCTGACAACTGAGCGATATGAGTCGGTGGAATATCATTTTCGCTGAGTGTATCATAGTTTTTCTACCACTGTGATTTCGGAGACGTTCGTTGTCTATTCCTGCTTTTTGAGTCATAGTTTAAGTTGTTGTTGACAGCTAAGTAAAAGGGAGAATCGTCTTCATTCATTTTCTCAGGTCTCTTCTGGGCGTAGAGCGTGTAGACCTCGATAGGATCTTTTTCTGATCCATCAGTGGCAAACATTTTAGGCGGCACTGCCCTGATATCGCGGCAGTCTGAACCGGTTCTTGTTTTGGTTTGTCTTTCATTAAATTCCAAATACTACTTGCCGTCAGCTGTTTCCTTCAACTTTACATCGCCCCAGCAGATTTCTCTATGTTCTTTGCAACCTCTGAGGCCAAAATGGATATTGCTGTTTAACCAGAGTGTGTTTAACAACGCGTCAGGATTTCGTGTACCGAGGAGGTCTTTTTCGTAGAACGTATTCAATCCATCACTGGTTAAAGCTATCGAAGCGTTTGGCCTGTTTCCTTTTCCTTTCTTCTTTAACTCTTTCCGTTTGGACAGGAGGACTTTTCTTGTTTTCTCAAATACGAGGTCATTCATGATACTGGAAGAGTACCTATTCTTTTTGTAGATTATTGCAGGGTTATTAAAAGCACAGGGAGCCCGAACGCTGTTTTAGCTAATAGAAAAAATTAGATGCATTTACGCTGTATCAGCACATAAAATACTAATATGTATCTTTCTTTGTTCCTGTGTCTTAAAATAAGTCGTTTTGGAAGAGATTTGAATCCGATCAAAGACGGTTAACATTGCTGGTTATCAATGCATTTGCTTGTCTAGCGCGTCGTAAGTTTTGTCTCACGTGCCATGTTAACTATTAACTATCGATCTCCTTGGGAGATGATCTCGGGTTTCAATTTAACGGTCACGATAAGAGAAAAGAGACCGTTAGAGGAAAGTTAATAGTTAACAATATTAGAAACGTGACACGAAACTTTAGCGTCTTATTTACGACGCGCAAGACAAGCAAACGCATTTGATAACCAGCAATGTTAACCGTCTATGATCTGATTTAAATCCCTTCCAAAACGACTTATAAAGACACCGGAACAAAGGAAAATGCATCTTATTATTTTATTAGCCAATACAGCGTAAATACATCTAATATTTTCTATTAGCTAAATCAACGTTCGGGCTCCCTGTGTTAAAAGTTGGAGTTTTGCAATATGGCGGACTACAATAAGACATGACAACGAGGCTCACGCTTCAAATGCGCTTCAATTTCAAACTCTTTGGGGTTTTTATGGTTTGACTTCAAACTTGCAGAGAGCCTTGACCTCTGTGTAGAAGTAGTATAATAAATAGGTGGATGAGTACATTTCCATACTTTGGATTTGACCTTGGGATTTTGCTGAGGGCGACTGATGGCAGCATTTTGGTTGACCTTGGGATTTGGATTTGATCTTGACCTTGGAAAGCAAAATGGCTTAAAGAAAAAGCGCTATATAATATTGGCTTGGGTTATTGAAGGAAATCTTTGTAAGAAACAATCGAAGTTCAGGAATTTTCACGGTAGGCGGGCGATAATTGCCGAGCGGTATTTCTTTCAGCCATTTTACCATTTTATTCAAGGTCAAGGTCAAATGTAAATCCCAAGGTCACTAAAATGCTGACATCAGCAAAATCCCAAGGTCAAATCCAAAGTATGGAAATGTGCTCATATGTCTACTTATTATACATTCGTTATTCAAATTTGGACATTTCAATATGGCGGACATGTGTATTTGCCTCCTTGCTATGTGGATTTGCCCCTCTTGCTATGGCGACTTGCCCCCTTTAAAGATGCTTAATATATTTAAAGATCTTTATTTAAGATATTTCTATTTTTAAATATTTTCTCAAGGTATTAAGAAATAACAACCCTTCATGTTTAGGAAGATATTTTGGATTTTCATTGCATTCGTTATTCGGAAAGATGTCAAAAGGCAGGCAAACAAAGCTTCAGAAGACCATTGAAAAGGCACTGGCAGGAGACGAGGATGCCATAGCGTACATGGACGTAAAAGACAAGTCCGATGTTAGTCCGATGATTAAAAAGTCTATAGTCCTAACCTGGGAAAAACTGTTGGATGACTACCACAATGCGTGCCTAAAACTCGTCGCTGCAGAAAACCTACAGTTACAAAGTTTGAGAAAAACCTCCATCCCATACCTTAAGTACTTGCTATGGATAGCGAAGAACCACTTCAAAAAGGACATTCCGGAGCAGGCAAGTACCTGCAGCAGGGAAGACGTTTTAACCGCGATGCATGAGATGACTTTCGATGTTCCTCCAGAAAAACTCAGGAATAAATCGTTTCAAGTTTCTAATGATGATGGATTAAAAGCACCAACTCCAGGAACCTCCGCAACTCGCAAGCGAAAACGTTCCGAGTCAAAGGAAGAAGAAACAGAATACTCTCCAGCTGGGAAGACGGGTAAGCGCTCTCATCATAGTAGATTCCAGTGCAAGATGCCAGAATGTAACGCAGTCGTAAGTGACATAGGACGTCATCTCAAAATACACGTCAGAAAGAGAGAGCTGTTGCAGGAAAACGTAAACGCCATGATCGAAATAATTCGACATGGAAAACAGCAATTTGGGCCAATAAAACCGAGAGATTCGAAGGGCCCGAAGCGGCGCCGAAAATGGTGCCCGATTGAGGGTTGCGACGCCGTTGTCACCTACGTGGGCAACCATCTAAAGAACGTCCATCAAGTGAAGCATAACACAGTAGAATACAAGATGCACCTAGAGGCTGCTAGGCCATATCTTGGTCTTGACGCTGAAATGAACGTCTTACTGGAAGGGCAGAGTGAAATGAATGAAGAAGTTGATGAGATTATCGAGGACGTTGGAAAGGAAGATGGGGGCACCATTGGAGTAGAGAACGAAGATGGTAACAGCGTGGAATTTAAGAAAAAGGCTGCGAAGGATACTGGCGAAGGAGAAGACATGCCGGTTAAGAGGGTCAAAATGGATACCGCACGTAACCAGGAATTAGACAGCCACAGCGAAGAGGACAAGAAAAAACCAAGTCCTGAGGAAACACCAAGTCCTGAGATCAGCAAGAAGAAAAGCCACCACAAGAAAACCAAGTGTAGGATAACTGGGTGCACTTTTTACAGCTGGGATCTTAACCGCCATATGAAAACACACGTCCGGAAGGGGCATTTGGATGAGGAAAACCTCTCTCGTGTCATCATTGTCGTCAGCATCAACAGAGAAACCTGATGGAAGGAGGAAACGATGGTGCCCAATAGATGGTTGTGATGCTATTATAAAGTACGTGTCAAAACATCTGAGAAATGTTCACAATATGGAACCAAACTCGAATGAGCTGAAAGAACTGTCCAAGTCGGCAAGGGAGTACGCTGGGCTAAAGGCTGAAATTGACCTGTTTGTCAATGAGATCAACGAAGAGAGGCCCAGCGACTCAAAGGAGTCACCCGAGGAGGAGGAGGAGGAGTTAGACGAAAAACGCCCTTTGTCTCCTAATGGCAGCAGGAAGGCAAAAGGAAAATCCCCAGTAAAGCCAGTCAGCCCAATAACGTCGCATACTGTTTCCGATCAAAGTGCTGATGACACAGGTTCTGAATACGAACCAAGTACCGATGAAGATACAGAATCTTCAACATCTGAAGAAGAGGATCATCCATCAAGAAAGTCAGCGTCGCCAAAGACACGTGAAGATTATTACAGAGCTTCAAAGTTTGACAACGAGGAGGAGGAGGAGGAGTTAGACGAAAAGCGCCCTATGTCTCCTAATGGCAGCAGGAAGGCAAAAGGAAAATCCCCAGTAAAGCCAGTCAGCCCAATAACGTCGCATACCGTTTCCGAACAAAGTGCTGATGACACAGGTTCTGAATACGAACCAAGTACCGATGAAGATACAGAATCTTCACCATCTGAAGAAAAGGATCATCCATCAAGAAAGTCAGCGTCGCCAAAGACACGTGAAGATTATTACAGAGCTTCAAAGTTTGACAACGGCCGCCACCAATGGCTCTGTGGGTTCTTTAATTTTTTGAGCCTTCCATCATCAGGTTATAAGAAAATACATATTAGGCTACAGCACGTCACCCAGGTGAAGATATTGCTTGAGGCATTAGACCCTAAGGGAACAGATATCAAATGCCTTGCAGAAGACCACGGTAATGCAATTTGGACCAAATACATAGACCCAGAAGTACAAGCCGGTAACAAAGCGCCAGGGACATTGATTTCATACTTGACGAGTGTTGAAAAGTTTCTGCAGTATGTAACCTCCCAAAAGTACGACCCCAAGCAAATGCCACATTTACTACCGTCCTGCAAAAAGGAATTTAAGAGGGTTATTCCAAACTTCAAAGGCTGGCGTGCATGCATTGACTCGTTTACGCAAGATAGGCAGCTCAGAAGATACATCCAGGAATGCGACGACCTGATTACACCAGAACAGCTTGAAGAGGTTAAGTCCTCCATACCATACACTGAAGGAGAGAACGTCATTTTGAAGGCGTCTCTTGGAAAGCCGCTGAACATGTATGAGTTCACATTAGCAAGAGACCTAATAATCTTTAAATTTTCAATTGCGACTGGCGCTCGTCCAGGTGCTTTAAATAACGCTCTGCTTGAAGACTTCAAGACAGCAACCTCTAACGATGGGAAAAGGGTGATTCTTGTCCCAAAGCACAAGCGAAGTAAAGACGGCCCAGCGATGCTGGGAATGAACGAAGAGCTGCAGCTTATGATGAGTGTTTACGTGGAGTTTATCAGACCTCAGTTCGCCATGCCTTCAGAGACAAAATTATTTATCAAGAACGATGGCTTTGCATTCAACGAAGGTACCATCGGGAAGGTGCTCTCCAGATTTTTGGAGAAAACTAAAGTTTTTAAGAAGCGAGTAAGCCACACGCACATTAGAAAATTTATTGCCACTCAGACCTACCAGCATGCAAGCCCACAGGAGGTCGAACACGTTGAGAAGGCCATGTGCCACGGGAAAGATACACGAAAGAAGTGCTACATCAGACAAGATTGTACACGAACTACTGCCGCTGCCATGGATATAATTGAGCGCGTACTAAGGCCCTCAAAAAAAAAAAATAATAATAATAATAAATAATAATGAGAACATTTATATAGCGCCTATTATGTAATAGATCTAGGCGCTTAACAAAGTGAAAAAATTGGAATTAAATGAGTTTATCTGGAACCAAATAAAAAAATTTATGTCTCTATATCAATATCTTCGCATTTAGCATCGCTTTGAAACAGAGGCTTGGGGCAAGTCGAAAATCGCCTATTGCTATTCATTTAAAATATTTCGCCGTTTCTGATTGGCTTTATCCCTCTCGGCTAATTCTTCATGACCAACTGCCGAACAGCTGGCGCTGACCTGCGCTGACCAAATCAACTTAAATCTCGTTCCCAGGTTTCTCTCCCCTCCTTCCTCAAGAGAGGAAGACAGAGAACCCTGGCATCGAAGTTGTGACGAAATTGGAAGATGCGAGCAATATACAATCAATGACCTCAGTCACACTTGACACACTGAAGTGAACTAATAAATTATTTTGCATTCTCATAAGTCGATAATGTTGTCAACGAAACGTTCTTCCGCATAAGTTCTTTTTGCTTTTCTTCATGCAGTTTTCATTTTTTAAAAGTACATTTATTGGCCTCTCCAAAGAGGTTTTTAAAAACTTATTTACACTTTTTTTATTTTGATAACAAGATTCAAACAATATTATTCAAATAAGTTATATGACAAAATAGAGTTTAAAATAAATTATGTATTATACAGATCATAAAATTTTTACACGGTGAACTGTTTCAGCTAAAGTTGGTGGCTAAAGGTTTATGATAAAACCGTTCTTAACGCTGCTTGTTTCAAGAACCTGTTTCTGTTAACCTGCTTCTTAATACACGTCGAACTTATACAAAGGTACTTATTGTCACTTTTTACGTCACTCGAAACAAAAACTGACCATGATAACATTGCGAAAATAATTCACGGACGGGATGCTTTTCTTTCTCTTTTCCCATTCAGCAGCGGCGGTTTCCATCACCTAAACCTTTCCAGTTTTCGTACTTCAATAGTAGACACGGCAAAATAGCTAACTGCAGATCTCAGCATTTTTAACGAAACTGATGGCTAATGCGAGCTCTCGTTTTTTTTTCGTGGAGAACACCGCTGTACTAAATTGAAGCCTGTGAGGTTGATATAGACTCCCTATCAAATAGAGCGGCAATCACGAGTGACCTTCGAAGATCGAGCGAAGGTAATCTTCTATGACGCGTTGGACTGCAAAACAAAATGACAAAAAATTGAACTTAATATCAACTATGTTCAGATGACTTATTAATTTAAAAAAATGAAGTTCGAGTACAAACTACGAATTCAGTCATATTCAGAGTCCAACCCATCCAGTGTGCATAGTCACCGTTTACCGTGAAGTTAGGTGGTCCGAAGCGTTGTTTCCTCAGTGGAGAAAAAAAAGAACTTTTCGCCATACCCTCTTTTTGCACTATGCAGCGTTATCCTTCCTTGTTATTAAGGCACAGTTGTTTACGTCCTCAGCGGCGAAGAGCGAGGAGAAACGAATGTTTTCGCAGGCTAAGTTTAGCCAGTCCGCTGAATCACAGTCACTTTCTATCTTATCATTGTTCTCATAAAAGCTCCGGAGGTGCTTTTTCTCTCGTTCTCGTGCACTCGATTTGTATTTATTTTTCCTTTCGAGCGCCCGACACGCTGAAAAGAGAGGGAGGAAGGTGTAACAACCAACGAATGTTAGATCGTACTGAAAAGTAACCTATGAACGTCTTTTCTTATGTAAGGTCCAAGAGATACACTATATAAATTTTGACTCCCCCAACTGAGTTCAAGCGACTGGCCCGTAGCTTAGCAAGTTCTTGGCGACCCGGAAGCGAAAACTTTCGCTGTTGTTTTTGCCACCTTGAACGACTGCCCATAGGCAAGAAGGAGGTTCGCTTACAGTTTCCTGGGTAACTTTGGTTTTGAAGCCGTTCTGAACGACCCGAATGAAAGCCACTGGAAGTCGATGAAGGTAAACTTACCGTTTTTATTGCCTACTCCTACAGCCAGACTCATTGCAGTTTGTCCTTCATTGTTAGTTGCTGTTAAGTCCGCCCCATGTTCTTGCATGAATAAAAATAAACACAGGAATCATTATAAAATTTTCTTCAAGTATTTGGCAATTTTTACTCTTAAGCAATTTCGAGCAACTATGTCACTTAAAACAATCACATAAAATGAAGAAAGTCCGGAGTAAGATTTTATAATAGCAATAGTAATAAAAAAAATACCTAGGCCTAAAAAATCGTCGAAAGCAGTGTCTCCAATTAGTTGGAATTACTTCAAGGGTCACAGGTTCATCAACTCTCGGAATTGTCCAGTGACACCCGCTCTTTTAATATAACGTTAGTTTGGTGTTTGGAATGATCCGCATGAAATTTGAAAACGGCTTATTTGCGTTCACAAGTTAAAACTTTTTGTATCATTTTCAGAGTCCAGTACTGAAACGCTGCATTGCGCCAGGACGGGCAAAATAACGTGCAACTTGTTTTCCAACATTGCTGCAAAACGAGTTGAAAAGCAATGTTGCGCGTTTTACTGACCCACGCTCAAACCTGTCTAGTAACAAATCAGCTTGTTGCAAGTTGCGTGAATACTGACTTCTGATTGGATAAAATAACGCGGGAGTTATGCCATACACGGGCGTTACCTCACTTGCTGCAAAACATCCAAGTTTCCCTTGGGCCGGTATAAAACGCGCAACATGTACAGATTTTGTTGCAAAAAGAAGAACTACTCTCTCGCGACATCGCTATTCAAGTCGTTTTGCAATCATGTTGCAAAATATGTTTCATGTTTTTGTTGCCCAGTTTACCGTACCTTTTCATACATGTATGGTAAAAAATGAACCCATCGTACCCATTAAAAGAGCGTATTCAAAGGCTTCAGTTTTCGGCGACAAAAGAAGCGGTCTTTGAGTCGATGGAAGGGCAAAGCAAAAAAGAAGAAATTGAACATACTTTAACTTAAAATGTTTCCGTACCTAGGAGAAGTTTGACGACTTGCGGGTAGCCATTAAAAGCTGCATACATCAGGGGAGTGCCTCCTTCCTATAATCCAAATAACAAACACATATTTCAAGGCAAGTAACAACTATATAAAGCCCCGTGCAAACGGACGAACATTGTTGGATGTTACATGTTGCATGCGCAAAGTTTGAAACCGGTCAAACTTTTCAGCCAACAACTCCAACATTTCTTTTGTTCCGTGATCGCCGAAGCGTAGCGCAACAATGTTGGATCCGTTTGCACAGCTCTTCCAACATTGTTGGGGCCACACACGCGCATTACACATGGTCTCCAAAGTATTGTTGTATCCTTGCCACGATGCACTGCAGGTCCCAACATTGTTGGGAGTTGGCGCACCACTGCCAACACTGATGCTACAAATCCCAACATTGTCCTTGTTGACCCAACAATGTTTGGAGTTGTTGGGTCCATTTGTACTTAGCTTAATGCTACGTGGAAACGGACGTAACATTATTAGCCAACAACTTTGGATGTTACATGTTGCATCCTGTTGCACACCCTGTTGCATGTTGTTGCTTGTTGTTGGGAGTTGTTGGGCAAAGTTTGAAACCGGCCAAACTTTCAGCTATGTGCAAACAGATGCAACAACTCCCAAAAATGTTGAGAGTTGTTGGCTAACAATGTCGCATCAATTTGCACGGGGCTAATTTAACATGAAAAGTCACATGACCCTGACAGATCCTTTTAGGTTTTCCCCTTTTTATGTTTTTTTTTTGGGGGGGGCGGGGGGGAGTAGAGGGGGGACAATTTTTACTTCTGTGTTTTCATCCTGATGGAGACCTTTACTTTAAAACTAATTTTAACCATGGAGAATCCCATGCCCCGTTGAGTTTATATTAGTTCCTTCTATTTTTCTGTCTAGGTAATCTTAGAAAGAAAAAAAGAACCAAAAGAAATGTTTAGCTGTTTGATCCCACACTGACTTGTTGGATTTGCCTGGAAACTTGAAATCTTAGGGAAAGCCCTGGCCTAGGGTACAGTCAGATCTACGCACATTTCTTTTAAATGAAAACAGTTTCTTAATTTTGGTAAAATGTTGCCTTCTAGCACAATTAATTTAAAACAGTAAAAGTTACTGGATAGTATGGATAAGACATGTACTGACAGGTCAGTCTTATCTCAATACATACCACATTTGCAATATCAGGATCTGCACCATACTCAAGCAGCTGTTCAACAGCATCCAGCTGCCCCTGACAAGCGGCAAATGATAACGCTGTCTCACCAGTTGGACTACATACTGTGGCATCTGCTCCACACTGAAGCAGTATGGTTATGGTTGCTTTCTATAGCACGCACACAAAACAAAGCATAACAGAATTTATAAGACAGAGTGGTAAGTCACATGCATGATGGTAGATAGACTCAAGAATTTTTATTTGAGTCCTGGTCTCTTCCATCATGGTTAGCCACCTCAGACAAGATACGGTGCTTCAGACAAAACCTTGTTATGGCAAACAATATTATTCCCAGTCCCTAGGCCCTTCATTACATCAAGGTTCCATTGTGACCTACTTAAATCGGTATTAGTGCTTGCCTACAATCTTGGACAAAACTGTGGAAAAAATCACATACTTGAGGAGCATTTTTCTAAACATTGTAGCTGTACCAATTCTTCCCTCTCCCTCTCCCTCTCCCCCTGGAAGCAATGTAAAAAAAAGCATAATCCCTGGGCGTTTTTAGGAAGCAACATTGAACTGGGGAAAGGGGATTTCTTTCTGCTAAGTAGTTGTTTTGGAACTAGACGTTTTGTTGCATAGGATAGTGCACAGTATACGTAAGGGAAAAACATTCTCAAGTAGTTTTTTCTGGGATTGTGGGTAATGGTAATGGTAATAGCAATTGACTATTAGCGTTCTACTCAGGGAGTAGGGTTAAGAGGGCAGAGAGATTCCATGCTATCTTATGGTGTGACTCTAATAACATGGCTGCTCTGTGCCTCACTCTGTTACTCGTAGTCTATCCAGAAGACCTCCAACTGACCTGTCTGTGAGCTGCTGCCCAAGCTAGGGGTGTCAGGCCTGTTTTATCCACAGCATTCACATCTGTACCTACCATGATAAGGTTCAAAAATATATTATATTCACCAGTAACAAAGAAACAAAGAATTGTTGAGCCTCTCTATGCAGACATTGTTTCACTGCATGTTTTCCACCAAAGAATTCCCTTGCCTGGTAATGCTCCCAGTGAGCTAGAGCAACCATAGTGACACCCACAGAAAGGGAAAAAAAAGAAAAGGAACTGGTTTAAAGAGCAAAGCAAAAACTCTGAATGTGTTCACCCACATTCCCCTTTCCTGCTGTCCTTTGCATGCAAATCTACATTGCAATCAATATTGTGAATGAGGCAGTCTCTCAAGACATTAGAGAGATTTAGAGTGACATTTACCATAAACGGCAAATGTCAGATTCAAGTTAAAAATTTCCTAAAACAGAAAACGTGCAGCTGAACACAGTCCAAGACAAAACTGACATGAAATAACTAATCTGGGGGTAGAAGAACACAAGTTAAGGAAAAACTTGGTAACGTGGTACAAATTCACATTTGCCGTTTACCGTAAACAGGACTCTAAATCTCTCTACATTTGTTACTAAAAATTAAGTCAGTGAAAACACTAAGCAAACCCAAAACCAAGCTACTTTGTGTTGCTAAATTTACCTTTGTCAATCTCCTCTTTAATCTTTGCAATTTCACCCTGAGCAGCTAGAAAATGTAGGGATGGATCTGAGAAAGAAAATGAAGAACTCAAGAACAAGAGGTATATGTATATATTTCCTCAGTTCTTTGTTACAATAGCTTGGTCACTTTGTGATCTGTTGTTAACTTAAGAGGACGGGTTTTACTGTAATATTGCTTTTCTGTGGCCATGAAACTCAAAAATAGGAAAAATTAACATTTGGGCTTCACTCAAGGTTGGCTCGTGCTTGGCTTGTGGTTCGTGGTTGACTCAGGCTTACGTTTGGCTTGTGAAATGACCAAACTCTTTTGGTACAGGTGACATTCCACAGGTCACAGTGCTACAGATGAAACACAGGATTATTTTTAGACCTAATTGAGGCCCAAAGGGTCAGACTGGGCCCCCTTTTTATATCTAAGGGTCTAGACGAGCCCCCCCCCCCACTTATCTCAAGGTCTGGATCTGGCACTGTAGAATATGTTATCATCCAAACCCTTGTCTATACATAACAGGGCTGTCAACCCCCAACGTCTTCAAATATTTGGAATTGATAGGGAAGGGATGATAGATGATGTCATATCATAAGGTATATGATATCATTTGTGCAAAAAATACTCGTTGACCCGATTGTCACAAATTTGCAATGTTTCACATTATTGCATACATTGCAATGGCATAATATACCATACCAAAGTTTATGAGGAAACATTCGATGTTAAATTAAGTAAAATAGCTCAGACAAAGCAAAATATTTAAAAGTCTATTGTCGGAAAGTCGAGTCTACAACTGAATGGCAAACTTCGGAGAATATCCGGGAGATTTCATACTCTAATCTGAAGACCGGGAGATGTGGTCCAAAATCTGGAGTCTCCTGGATTATCTGAGAGAGTTGACAACACTGACATAATCATCACCCAACCATGTACCTTTTGTATGACTTACCATGTTTAACACAAGACAGCTCCCTAATATGATAATTTATTTAGGGTTTTATATTAACATGCAGTCCATCAATTAAACTGACCTGTTTATGGTCATATCAGTTTTGATTGCTATTAAATTATTAGATTTGCAGCTTACATTGTGCGGCAGCTTTATCAGTAGTGCTCACATATTCCTTGATCTCTTGCTCCAGCTGTATACAAATACAAATAAAAAATGTTAATTCTGTATCAGCAGAAGGATGATCAGTGAGGTGGGGGCTTAACCACCTTCTTTCTCTAAGAAGGGGACCTGGGACTACGGTAATCAACAAAGTTTTATACAGGGAGGTTATGCCCTGAGGTCCAACCCCTTATCATATATACCATTCCTGACAGAAGAGATGCATCTTTGAATAGCCTGTGTACAGCCGAATGATACATTGGGAGAACATGGCAAATGGAATGAAAATATACAGCCTTAGTTTAGGTGCATTCATGCCCTTGTCATTTGCTTGAAATATTTTAATAAAATGACAGATTTTGCTGCCCTTTCATATACTTTCATTCATTAAATCCCTAACTTTTTATTTACCTGAAGCCTGAAAAGGGTACTTCTTTTGGGCGGAGTCCCCCTTTCAAGACCGTTATGGGGAGCGCTGCCCCCCCCCCACCCCACCACCTCCCAGGAAAGAGATAGTAGAAAGGTGGCTTTTGAGGCAGGACCTAAACAAGTTATTTATGGTACTAATTTAGTTGGTTATGATCGAACTCACAATACTGTTGATTTCAGGTTTACCACTGCTTGTGAATATGGACAGTACTTGAGATGATTTTGCAGAAAATGGGACATACCTTTAATATAAGCCTCATTTTAAAAGTGAGGACTCACCTTGAATCCACCAGTCAACTCTTTTGTTGATGAAGACCTTGGGCCTTTCTTGACCAACAGGTGGCCAGACTGAGCAAAATGAGCTTCTGTCAAGAAATATAATGCATTCTTAAAACATACTCCCTAAAATTAGCCTGTGTCACCGACAAAACTTAACTCTGGTTAAGTCCGTCTGCAAAACAGTGACAAAATCCTTGTTCTAGGCCCTTATCTGTGTACTAGGATTTGAGTATGCACCATGAATGGCCCATTAAAAAAGCTATTGTTGATTTGCCATTCAGGTTGAAAGGAAATTTGAAACACATTTTAGGTTGTTGAGTATGTTGGGGGCCCAGAACGAGGATCTTGGCTCTGCTTTGCAGACGTTACTAACCGGGGATTCATTCCGTCTGCGACTCAGGCTTCCTAAAATCGGCATGATTGAGTTATTTTTTCCTCAATATGCCTCTTTAAGGCTCTATGTTATGCATGTGCATAATTATACACTCTGTTTTCAAATAGCCCTTAACTTCCACAAGTTGTGGTTTAATTTTTCATATATTTAGGCTGTGAGTTTTTAACACATTTGAGCAACAGGTGATCGCTATATGAATCCACAGGTTACATATATTGTGTAGATCAGCCACCACGTGGCTTGAATCACTCCCTTTTCATTTTATACCTGTTCCTAGTACCGCTGCAACTTCTTGATCGGGCTCTAACTGACAAGACAGCTTATCCTGTGGCTCTCCCTGTGATTCTTGGTTTCCTAACATAATTTCGTAGAGAATAAAAATCGACTAAAATTGTTGCAGCATGAAATGAATTTTTATCCTGCTCGATCGACCTACTCGATCAAAACAAAAGCACCATTTTCTCGATTCAGGTTCCGCTCAGGTTTTGCCCCTGTGTTGAAGACTGGGTCGGGCTCGGTGACATCATCAATGACGTCAGTACTTTGCCTTCCAAACCGCCATGTTGTATTTATGTGCCATTCGAAAATAACCAGCTTGATCAAATTATGGATTTGGAAAAGGCTTGTATTGTTCATAGGAATAGCTCGTTTGGTAGAGGAAGTTTTTGACTAGAAATCTGACATGTCGGGGCTTTTTGATGCGCACAAAGTCGGTTTGCCGAAGGACTCTCGTTCGAGGCCGAGGAGGAAGGAGGATGACTTGCTTGTCTTTGGCTATGCGTGCAAATTATTTGAGGACTATGAAAAGGCTGCGGCCTTTGATCCAGAAAAGAGCTTGATACCATGGATGGGTGATGAATCCCTACGTATCGACAGGTCTGTTCAATTATATTTTGATTAAATGTAATAAAAGCTGTGTTGAAATCACGTTTTGTTGATGTTATTATTGTTGTTGTGAATGGAGGTTTCCTCCGCGATTTGTTTCAGAAATATCTCACATGGATTTGCCCTTTACACTCGAGTAAAGGAGATTGAAGTTTTATATATTTTCACGGAACGTTAAAGAATGTAAAGACGATCGATAAAAACTTTTGAAATCCACATTTTAAAAAGCCGAAAGATGGAAGTTCTGATCTGAAACAAGGAATTGAGAGCTTTTTAAAATGCTTTTTTCTTTTGCCCATATTGGAACACTGACGGCAGTAGAGACAAGGTAAGTTGGTTGCATCGGGACAAGAAACCAGTTGTATGATATGTAAGTATAAAATAATCGTTTGATAACAATTTAATTACAGTAATTACATCAGCCTATCTTTAATTCTGACAGTTTCTCTATAATTGCACATGTGACACAATCAAGTGGAGGGTTAAATATAATTTGTTCCAAAAAGAAACAGAAAAGCTGAATTGGACAAAGATTAGCATTTTCAAGGAAAGGTTATCTTAAAAAGTTTTCCACTGTATTATGAATCTACCACTGGTCCAGTTTTGTAGGTACATGTTGCTGTTATGTTGATTACAACACGCTAATAGAAGGCCAATGACTTTGTTTTAGATATGATGCTCGTCTGCACCTCACTGACAAAGCACAGTTTATTGCCAAATCGTCTGATGGAGTTCCTTCACTTACACCTGAAGAAGAGGAAATAGAGAGATTGTGTGATGAAGAAAGATACATGGATCTCAACCGTGATATGGAGGAATATGAGTCCCAGCAAGGTAAGTTTAAGCATGCATTCATTCATTTATGAGGTACTGAAGAATTTAAAATTTATTCTGTTAAATGTGGCTAATCCCTTACCTAACATGAACAGCCAATGTTTTTCCAGAATTTCAAGTGTAAAATATTTCTAGTTTGTCTACAAAACCAGCTTACGGACAATCAATTATTTATAGTTCACTGGATTGCCTCTATGCTGAAAGCACTTTGATAAAATAATCCACGGAAGATGGCTGTCATAGAATTTTCCAGAAATATAAAGACGCTTGTTGCTATTGACATTATTTTATTGTGCAATTATAAAAAGCTGGCCTAGGGTTTTAGAAAACCTGTGTTTTGGTGTGCAGAACACACACACAACTGTTAAAACTTGACATGTTTTTGGTGTAAACAGTAAGTGGTTCAGTTTAGCCTGTGAACAAGCTCTCTGTTTGGGGAAAGGGTGAAAAATCGCAAGGAGAGGGAAGAGAAAGGAGAGCCTGTAGACAATCATTTGGGACCGCTATTCTGCCTTCTTGTCTTGTAATTGCCGATCATCTGTCAGCAAGATCGTTATCTGTCACCTGGATATATTGGAATGTAATTGATTTCACGTGTAAAAAGGGGGTTGGTAGGCAACCCACAATTTTTACCTCGTGCCAAAATGCTGCTTATTCCAATGAGTTTTTTCTCTGGAGGGTAGATTATGCTCTGGAGGGTTTAGTTTTAACTGAGAAAATGTGATTTTTGCCGCTTATTTCTTCCTTAGAGGTCGTGACACGCATATTGATTTTCTGCGGTTATTGTTTCTGGTCGGCGTGACTTGCCCTCTGATGCAAGAACATTCATTGCGGCTAAAAAAGCTCATCAGTCAAGCACCAGAACTCGTCTGCACCTCACTGACAAAGCACAGTTTATTGCCAAATCGTCTGATGGAGTTCCTTCACTTACACCTGAAGAAGAGGAAATAGAGAGATTGTGTGATGAAGAAAGATACATGGATCTCAACCGTGATGTGGAGGAATATGAGTCCCAGCAAGGTAAGTTTAAGCATGCATTCATTCATTTATGAGGTACTGAAGAATTAAAATTTATTCCATTAAATATGGCTAATTCCTTACCTAACTTGAACAGCCAATGTTTTTCCAGGATTTCAAGTGTAAAATATTTCTAGTTTGTCTACAAAACCAGCTCATTTTTCAACTGAACCAATTTACAGACAATAATAGTTCACTGGATTGCCTCTATGCTCAAAGCACTTTGATAAAATAATCCATGGAAGATGGCTGTCATAGAATTTTCCAGAAATATAAAGACGCTTGTTGCTATTGACATTATTTTATCGTGCAATTATAAAAAGTTGGCCTAGGGTTTTAGAAAGCCTGTGTTTCGGTGTGCAGAACACACGCAGAACTGTTAAAACTTGACATGTTTTTGGTGTAAACAGTATGTGGTTCAGTTTAGCCTGTGAACAAGCTCTCTGTTTGGGGAAAAGGTGAAAAATCGCAAGGAGAGGGAAGGGAAAGGGTGAGAGCCTGTAGACAAACATTTGGGACTGCTATTTTGCCTTCTTGTCTTGTAATTGCCGATCATCTGTCAGTTATCTGTCACCTGGATATATTAGAATGTAATCAATTTCACGTGTAAAAAGGGGGTTGGTAGGCAACACACAATTTTTACCTTGTGCCAAAATGCTGCTTATTCCAATGAGTTTTTTCTCTGGCGGGTAGATTATGCTCTGGAGGGTTTAGTTTTAACTGAGAAAATGTGATTTTTGCTGCTTATTTCTTCCTTAGAGGTCGTGACACGCATATTGATTTTCTGCGGTTATTGTTTCTGGTCGGCGTGACTTGCCCTCTGATGCAAGAACATTCATTGCGGCTAAAAAAGCTCATCAGTCAAGCACCAGAAGATGCCATGTTAAAGATTGGAAGACCTGTTTACAAGCGATTATTTAAATCAAATGGCATGCTACGTGCAGGGTTGTCACTAAGGGCCGAGGGCCAGGGATTTCCCCCGGCTACTCAGAGCATGGCCCCCGGCTACTTTCGTCGTTAAATTAAACCAAAAGAGCACACCTTTGAAACACACAAAGACTATCCATCAAACTAAATGTGAGTTTCATCTGCAGCAGGTTTAAGTAATTCTGAAATACTCGCGTGCAAAAACTAAGAAACGTCGGAAAAAGACATCTGACTTAGATTTGGTACTAGTACACACGCGCGAAAACTCTCCGTTCGCGAAATGTCAGTAGGAAGTTTTAGCAACGATGACGGCGACGGCAACGAGAACCTCAAAAAAGCAATAGGTTTATTGAGCAAAACAACTAGTTTGCACGTGCATCACGCTTTTTTGTACTTTTCTTTGCCATCACTGCACCACTACGACGTGAAAATGTCTAGTTTCACGTTTTATGGAGGACGTAAAACAAGCGACGACAAACTTTTCTTTCTCTTTCTAAACTTGAGTGTGCCCAAAGAAATCAACTGCAGGGAAATTGGCCTACATTAGCTATTTTCAGCGAATTGAAATAAGTTGAAAAAAAAGTTGGAAAAAATGCAATTCANTTGAGTTACCATTCAAGTGAAACCTCTTGAATGGTGCATTCACATAGTTCAGTTTGTTTTTCAATATTTAAATATGGAAATCTGGGAATATGATTAAAGCGGTTAAACCATGTTTAACTTTAATTTAAACCATGTTACATTATACCTTTTAACATTAAACCATGTTTAACTAAACAAGTTTTAGCTTTGCCCTGAACAGACTTAACATTCATCTGCACTTTTCATGTTATTAGACTTACTGTAACAAGCACATATAATGTAGATTACAAAAAGCGACAATGTATATTGTATCCTCTTTCTAGGATCAATGTTATACAAAACTCAACAAGACAGTTCTTTTCCTACGTCTGATGTCCAGAAAACAGTGTTACCCCCTGCTCCTCTTCCTGCTGTAGTTGCTCCTCCACCAGAACCTTTTGTTCCCCCAGATGAGCTGGAAATACCGCAGGGAATGGAGATTGTAAGTACTCAGTCCTGTTTACAAGTTCTTTGCTCTGTCATTTTTAAATGTTCATGATAATACTTTAATTTTCTTTATCAAGCTTGTTTTCTGATACTCTGATGACTTTTATTTCGCAGTTGAGAAAGCAACAAATTTTTTACCTCATATATACTGTTGTAAAAATAATTATCTTGGGTTCACAGTTTCCTGAGAAGTTAATCTTTCTCTGGAAAATCTGTGATTTCAGGTCAATCAGCAACACAGAGGTTGGCAAAATTAACTGCTTCTTGTTGTGTATATAGTGGTTCAAATTATATTTTCCTTTGTTTGGGGGTCAGGTAGTGTGCATGTTGTACAATAATGAGTTAAAAACAAAGGAAAATGAAACTTGAGCCATAGACAAAATTAAACTACATGTATGATGAGTACATGAATGGGTGTGTAAACATATATAAATAACAGTTTGTAGAAAATTTAAAAAAAAACACTCACTTTTTTTTTGTTTTAATTAGCCATTTCCGAGTTCCAAAGGCTCTCACTTTCAAAATGAGGCTAAGTGCCAAACTTTTGTTGTAAAAATGAGCTTTATTTGCATGAGAATTGAAAAATCATTTTCACATCAATGGCTTTGCCCTTAGCCTCGCTTTGAAACAGAGGCTTGAGGCCACTCAGAAATTGCCTTTGTGTATCCAGCAGGCACTATACTAACTTTTCAAGACAGTCTGTTTCTTTAGTAGGAATTCAGCTACATTCACTAAGAGGTGCTTATGCAGGGCAGAGTCTTCAAACACAAATGTAATCACCTGGACAAGTGTTTATTTTCAATTTCAGTCTAAACCTTCAAACTGTGCTGTGCATTTCTTAGAACATATAGGGGTTGGAAAATGTTGCCAACTTTAACTTACCATAAACACTGGCAGACCATAAGCCACCCTTCCATATGAATAGCAACCTGAGTGAAGAAGCTTGAAATTGACTAAAATTTTGAGTTGTCAAAGAAGCCTTTTTTTAATTAAAAAAATAAAGGCTTTAAAATTTAATTATGACAGTCAAACTCTGTCTATGCAAACAGTCAATTTTTAAAATGATTTAACTACAGTGTGGAATTAAGGTATGGCTTATCTGCTGTTGTTTTTGGTTATCTTAAGAATAGTTTGGAACTAAAAATAAATATGAGGAATGCATGGCTGTTGTGGGAATGGACTTTCTAATGTGAGTCTGTGTTATCATGTGGTATTTCATTTTTGCAGACTGGCGAGTTTATATTTTGTGGGAATATGTTTCTTAGTGGGAATTAATTTTTGTAATATCTTAATGTTTGTGAAAGTAAAATAGGTTTAACCTTGGTGTTAATTTTTCTGGAAATTTGTAATGGATTATGGGAAAACTGAAAAAATCACATAGCTCCCAAAAGTCTAGTGGGACATGAACTGTAGATGGCATGGGAAGGCATTGACATGATTTATCTATTCTTTAAGAACTTTTTATTTATGTTCCAAGGTTTAAAATTTTAGAGCCTGTGTAACTTGTTGTGGCTGAGGTTTTTACAGCAATAGTGGTTTGTTAATATAACTTCTGTTACTTCACGTTTAGCCTGAAACAGCTAAAATGCAAGCCATTATTGAAAGGACAGCTGCCTTTGTTGCGAAGCAAGGGAAACAAATGGAAATCTTGGTTAAAGCCAAGCAGTCAGGAAATCCTCAATTTGACTTTTTACTCATGGATAATTGGTTAAACCCTTACTACAAGCATGTGTTGGGATATATAACGGAGGGAAAGTTTACTCCAGAAATCCCGCAACAGCCATCGACACAGCCTCAAGAAGAAGAGAAAGAGAGTGATAGCAGTGAGGAAGAGTCTGATGGAGAATATGAACTACATCCTTTGTTACAAGCATCACTTCACAAAAAGGTAACAAGGTCACGGCCAACATCAGCATCATCATCACCAGTACCTCTTGGTAACAAGTTTAATCGCACTTTTGCACCAGTGACAAGTGGATTGTCATCTACAGCTTTCCCCCATGACCACACCAACAATAACAATGCACATGTGAGCATTGTTGATGAGGAAGTTAATTACAGTATGTGGTACCCACAAGGTATGTGTGCCTTTTAAGAACTTTTCATTTTGAACTTCTCTCATGAAGGTCTCAGGAAAGTTCTGCCCCAACTGTAGACCTCAGGTTCTTAACTACACTGCTTTGAAATGAACGTTGTACACTACAGTAGTTGAAGAGTATGTCAGATTAACATTTTTATGGAAATTGTCCCATGTGCTTTCAAATCAGATCATAATCTGCATGCCAACTCACTTTAAAGTACATTTTAATAAGATAAGCTCCCACCATTTCTAAAGACACTTCTTATTGATAATTACAGTAATACATTTGAAATTTAAGTCCACTGAGTGCAAACCAGTGCTGTTGTTAGCCCATGCACACAAACAATAAAACTGAACTGGATATTATTTTAAGTCCTCGAGACATGCTTCTTCACCAAATGATCATCTCAATTTACTTGTACATCAGGGTCATAGTCCTCATTTCCAGCATCATGACCTAACCACTACCACCACAACCCTCAACAGAGATTAGATCCTGTGTTGCTGTGTTCCCTTCTTTGGACTATGACTAGTGTTCATTGGAAAGAGTTATTCCCCAAATTAAGGAGATTAAATATGCAGTGTTTGTTTGTTTCTTTGGTTGTGGCTGGGACCATCACTAAGTGTCCACTGGGACAGTAGAGGGTTTCCGCCTACTGGAGATGCCCATAACTGATACAGTGTAACCGCGTTAGACACCAATGGATGCCAAAAATTTGGCCGTAGCAGCATGCAAAGAAATTAGTGTCCGATAGCCTGGGAGTGGATTTTTCTATCAGGCTAGTGAATTCTGTTATTAACTTGCCCGATGGACAAGTGAAGTTTTTTGAGGAATTCAAATTGCAGAAGAAAACTGTGAAATCAATCTGCTCATCAAAACGTTTTGGGGGCTAGTTGAAAGGATGTTTGGGCTAGTAAATGTTAGCTGCAGCTTGCCCGAATGGCAGGCTGTAAAAGTGACTTTCTGCGCACCCTGTGTAGGAACAGGGTGGTCATATTACCAGACAGGGTAAAATTTCATAAGTTAAATGCCGTAATGAAAAACACACCATACATCGCATTCACACATCTTGAACAACTGTTCTCTTTAGAAAACAACCAGAATGTAGATCTTGCGTACAGTAATATTTTAAAAACTACTTGAAACCTTTCTTCAGTACATATAACACTTTTAAAAAATTGGCTATAACACCGCCAAAAATGCATCTTAAGTGTACTGTTGTCTAAAAACAATATGCAAGAACAGGCTTAGCTTACCTGGTCAATGAGACTGACATGTCACAGGCATTTTAATTTTACTAAATTTCGAATGAGTGGCCATATTAACAGGGTAAAAGTATAAAAGATTTTACTGTTAGGGATTTTGAATTGTGGCCATTGGCCATGTTAATGGGTGACCACATTTACAAGGTATTTTTAAAAGAAAATGTATGGCCATTTTGCTAGGCCCAAAAAAATGAACTAATATATTTTTTGTATTTCAGACGATATGTATGGGCATTATGTGTCATCTGCTGGTTACACATACCACCCCCCTGTGGTACCTGTTCTCTCAGTTGCTGATATGATTCCACCTCCTCCACCACCCCCTGGGGAGGGACCCCTAGAAGGTAAATCAGTTTATTTGCACTTTTTCCAACAGACTATAATCCAGATGCACTGTATGGTCATACTAATCGATCACTAACAAACATAAGAAAAATAAAACACAATCTACACTGACAGTGGGAATGCCGAGAAGCTTTTGGAACAATTTGTTTAATTGGCTAATGAAACATAAACAGAAAGTACCCCTATCCCTAAAAACAATAGCAGGTATGTTTTCAACAGCCAGTGAAAATAACAGGAGCTTTAATGCTCCAAGAATGCGTTGTTGGAATGTAAATGTACAAACAAGTAATTAACTAGAGAAGTGCACTTAAGCAGAATCAAATGACTGATGTTTTTTATTTATTTTGTTTAGTTTACGATGTTAGTGCTCAGTTCTTATGGCACATATTGTCTAGCTGAATAAGTTAGTGATCCAGTTTCAAGTTTGCTTAAGTAGGTAGTGTGTTAAAAATGTCAGAGATACCAAGTAGTGATCTCTTTAGTACACACCTACCCTGTTTCCAGAGGATTTTCTTTAAATTTTCCCCGCACAAGAGCAGTGTTTTCCTTATCAGGAGGTAACCAGTAAAATTTACTGCCTGAAGCAACACTTCTGACTGTCTGCAACCACTTGAGGGGTTGCTAAAATTAAATATGTAGTTTAAAAAATATGCAAGTTGTGATCCGATCTGATTCTCACAAGGAAATGAATGAATATATGGAAAAGTACTAAAGTTTACACAGCTTTTCTTTTTCTGGGCCACACATTTTGGAAAGAGAACATTGAAGACAGAGTAAAATTATTTGAAGTAAATGTTTTAAATTGTTGTCTAAAGATGACAACCGCCAATTTGCGTAAAATAGGTCTTAAAGTGTGGGAATGAAGTTTCAGAGAACTTAGTTCCTAAATTTCCCAGCGAGAGCGGGGCCATTTTGAAGAATTTGACTTAAGCCATCTCTTTGACCATGATTAAAGGAGCTGTGTTCACAAAATATATCAAAACTCAAATGGTGGCAACTGCCACGAAATTGAATGAAACACAAAATACAAAAGGAGGCATGGATGAAGAAGATTAAAACAGATTGTGATATTGTGGTTGTTGAAAGCTTGTTAGGTAAAGCAGTTTCTTAATGTTCTCTTTAGTTGTTTATAACGTTTGATAAGGCTTGACATATTGCTTGGGAGACTTATTTGTTGGACTTAAAGCTGTGGTTTTGTCGTTCGCAAGTAATTTCTCAAGTTCTATAGCGAACAAGGATGCATAGTTGGCGTTTAAAACAAAATGAACTAGACAGCTGTGGTACATACCCTTTAAGGCTTAGTTCACTTTTACTAATCCAGACATGCTTTTTTCACAGAGGAGTGGTTGGAGTTTACATCATCAGTACCCCCTCTGCCGCCCCCGCCCCCACCACCAGTACCTCCAGCACTGTTTCTTCATGATGGTGTTGATATCTCAGAGGCTTTGCCTCCCCCTGATCCCACTGGGATGTCTACAATGCCACTAGGCACACCACAGGTTATACCACCTCCCCCTGACCTACAACCCATTGTGGACAAGCTGGCAATTTATGTTGCCAAAAATGGTCCTGACTTCGAGTCGATCATCAAAGCCAAGAATGATCCTAGGTTTGAGTTCTTGAATCCGTGGAACACCCACCATGGTTATTATAACCTCAAGAAACAGGAAGCACTAGCAAATCAACAGCTGCAGCAACAATCAGCCACATCTGAAGGTAAAGAACATTGATAAAAGGTATCAGAATAAAGGGACGTGTTACAGTCAGGGTTTGCAAATTTTATTGATGGGTGAAGTCAGTGTGACTTCTGCTTCACAAATTTTGGATTCATTTTGGAATATGCAAAGTCAAGTAACACAATGAAAAAAGCAATGTAATATTTCTTAAACAAGAGTTAAAAAAACAAAAAAAATTCTTTGACAGCTTTGGATAGCCTTTTCGACATGGATGCCATTTCAGTGTATGGTTCTGGCACGTATATGCTATCTTGATGGAAACATGAGGTAGCTACGACCTCATAGGAGAGTGCGCTGACCTTGAAAGGCTCAAATCCATGATGATGATTATCGTTCAAGTGATCCTTATTGTGATTTAGCCTCTATGTATACAGACATCAATGATTCTTCAATTTAGATGGTTAAAATCAGGTTTACAACGTTTTCAGTCAATGTAGATTGTATAATCAAAGTGACTTCCTCCGTAAGCTGAAAAATTTTGTGAAATTTGGCGTATTTGCAAACCCTGTACAGTACAACTACTGTAGCCACGGCCACCTAGACAAAGTTGACAAATCAGATTACTGGGAAATAACAATGCATTCCAAGAAAGTTGATTGTGGGTGAATCAGCAGCTCATAAGAAAATAATGAGTTACTTGAAACACAAAATTTAAATATTGATAGCAGACGTTTCCCAGAAAGGAAAATTTCTCATTAGATAATGTTTTCCTATCCAGAACTTTACATATAATGCCCAGGGGACATATTTGTTTGACAGAAGCTGTTATTTTGTCATCAATCAGCAATTTCTTCACTAACAATGCCGTTCTTTGCAATAACGTGTGACCTCAAGGTAAAAATAGAACTTAAGTTCCTGTTTTCACTTCTATTAATCACTCTAACAGACCCTTTAGAAAACACACGTTTTCTTCAGTGGGTTCAACAGGTCACATCTGTAGCTTGTAGCTGGTTGATTTTGATTAATGATGTTGATTTTGTTGCCTGGTAATTTTTTTATTTTATTCCCTCAGAAAATGGAAAGAACATTGAAGTGTCCAAAGGACCAATAAGTTTCTCAATAAAGGCTAAAGAAACAAAGAAACCCAAAATTGAGTACAGGACAAGTGTTATCTACAAGCAGAGTTGTGAACAAGGTGAAAGTGATGAGGAAGTTAATGAGGAGGGATCAGAAGCAGAGTGCAAGGAGAAGAGTGAAGCCAATGGAAGAAAACCAGAACAGGAGACTGCTGTAAATAGTGGCTCAACATCGACAGAAAACTCAGCTCCTGAGGTGGACTCTATTAAGGCTGCTGAAAGAATTGGTATGAAGGACTGTTGTATTTTTTCTACGTAGCATTTTAGGCCCTCGAATACAAATTTATCCACATTCAAATTCTCCAGGTTGACATCCATACATTCCCTTAAAGATCTTGAGAAAGGATCAACACATTTTCCCCTGAAAGATTATTTTATCATTTCTCATAACCTCTTCTCTTGATAAGGTATTGATATTGTTGGGAGAAGATTGATGTTGGTCACTCTTGGGATTTAAAGGATTACTACAGTTTAAACACGTGACTTGCCTAGTTCCCAGGCCTTCAAATTGTCACTACACGGTCGAGGTGTATCGTATGGGTCACGTGATGCAAGCAAAGAGTCTTTCAATTCTTGTGTAACCGAAATGAATTGACCATGCAGGCCTGGGGAAAGCTGTACAGTTGCTAGGCAACCCCTTGTTCGCGACATTGATTGTGGTTGATTGAGAAAGATTTTCGAAGGAGGTGCGGCGGTGTTGTAGCTTATGTCACCATAATATTGTAATTGGCTCCAGGAGTGAACTTGACTGACATTCTTATTATTGTACAGCCCAACATCTGGAGTCTGAATCAAGAGATAAACAGCTTCAAATAGAACGACGAAGGAAAGCGTCACTCTTCATAAGTATGCTCAAGAAAACCAACCCAGGAGATGAAGTGGAAACAAACCAGTAAGAAACGTAACAAATAGGCAACAATATTCCATGATCATTGCAAAATTTGAACGTTAGACGTCATTTCTTTGATGAATAAGAGTGTAGACCGTGCAAAATTGTTGTCTTTTTACTTCTTGGCTTTTACAATAACAACGTCCATTTCCTGCCAGATTTCTTGAAAAGTGCGCGCGAGAGACAGAAGGTCAGAGAAAAAATTGCGATATCGCGTCATTTGATAGACTATAGCTCTCGACCAATCAGGGCGCGAGAAATCGCTCAGTTATTTGAAAATTATAGTAGTATAATAATATTATAATGAATATTAAAATTGATCTCCTAAGCTTACAGTAGCAGTTACTGGGCCCTCATTCACTATTGATTTACAATTGTGAATGAGACGACCCAGGCGAAATGATTAGTTTCAAAAAATGTCAGTTTTACTCTTTGACTCTTCGGGCCCCAATTTTGTTTTTAGTTTCAAAAGACTAAACTTCATTTGAAACTAGAAATTTTAGTTTCAAAAGATGCTTAATCTAATTTATTTATCCTTTTTTCTTTGGCCAACTAACTTTCTTTTTTTTTACATCGCTGTTTGTGAAAAAAGCAAACAAAAAGAATATACAAACTGTGATCGTTATTACCCGCCATCCTTACAGAAAGCGATGCTATGTGGTGTCTCAGGGGGCAAAAATCTTTTAACTTTACATTTCTCTAGCAGCAGTTTAGGCAAAAGTTTGCACCGGTTCAAGCGCGATTTCTAAGAATGTACTGATCAAGAGTGTTGATTAGCTTTAAGTGTCACTTTGTTCATTGGCTACCATACTTTATCTATAGTAAACATTGTATTGAAGAAACGTAGCTAAAAGAGCAGTATTTTTAACAGGTCTTCGCAAGAAAATTTAGTACCATCTGGGAGGACCAGAAAATTTATGGAAAAACGACAGGATACACGGTAATTAGTAATTTCTGCAACTGTAAAATAGTAGAGACATCCAGAGAGATTTAAAGGAAAGAAATCTTGCGTCAAGATAAACTTATTGCTGTGCGTCGTGTGAAGTCATTTCTCTTTGGACATTTTATCTTCCTTCTCCTCTTTCAATGGTATTTTTTGATGTTGCGGTAGCTACCAGCTGCGCCGTGGTGATCGAGAAATAGTAAAGGAAGAGAGAGAGAACGCGCACGCGTGAACAAGGAGGGAGGAGGCACCTTCATGCAAGTAGCTTTGCCACGCAGGTTGATCATGTTGTTATTGAGTGATCGAACTTTTAAAACCGTTTAGTTCTCGCCAACCTTCAGTTTGAGTACTTCCTTCCGTATTTTTATCTTTACTTGATAAAGGCCTGGCCCCAGTTGTTCAAAAGCTGGATAGTGCTATCCATTGGATAAATCTCTGTCCAATGGAAAGTGCAATTGGTTTCCCTAATACTTATCCACTGGATAGAGATTTATCCGATGGATAGCGCTATCCAGCTTTTGAACAACTGAGGCCAGGAGAGTAATTAGAGACTTGCGCCTTCTGTCTTAGACCTGAGTCTCCTCCAGCGAAAAGAAGCCGCATTAGCGATGACGATAGTGATTCACTGAGTGGAGGAGTCGGGTCTCCATCTCCTGGCAGCATCCGGGTTACTCAGGTCAGTATTGCACTGTGCATTACTAGAACATTAGGGCGTACACCAAGACTGCGGTAGTTTAGCCTGAGTATCAGGCCTTCCTAAGGGGCTAGGGGAGAGGAGATTTTAGCGAACTTCACCAACATGAATAAGTCGCTCTCTTTAACGAAAATCCCCCTTTGGGAGTGGAAGAGTTGAGGCAAGACATATTTGGTGTGCCCCTTTCCTTCCTTTTTGTTTCTGTATCGGTAGTTACTAAACTTTTATATATAGTGCAGCCTGTGTAGCAATCGTTTCCATCTCTTTCTAGCCGAGCGGGGAAAGCGTCAAGTCGCCCGAGGGCACGAGGTAAAAAGGCGCTCCAGTTTTTCCTTTGTCCTCACTCGTCTCTTGCTTGGCTAAAAGGGAACAGAAATGACTGCTACGTGTGCTAATCTTTTTGAAACCCTTTATTTTTAACACAGGATTTGATGGCAAAGGTGTTGGCCGCTTCTAGAAACAAGTGACATGATTGAAGCACCGATTGCCTGACCGGGCAGATTGGCTTTGTCACTGAAGCCTGAGTCAACCTTCATCTCGTCACAGCTGGACTACAGAGGCCGCGCTACTTCGTAGGCTAGCCTCAAGCCTTAAGTCGAAGGAGGACAAACTCAGACAGCAGAAAGTTAACACCATGTAACTCTGTGCCACAAGAAATAACCTTGTACAGTGTAAACAGGTTATGTTTATAAAAATGAAAAAAGGTGTAAATACTGACAGTCCCTTTTCTTAAATTTCTCGAATAAAAAACCACCATGGACTAACCCCTTTGGAAAAATCCCAGTTTTTTTTAACTTTTTCAACTTCTTGTTTTTATAGTCTAGAAAGACGTTTCTTTCTTCTAAAATATCGTTAACTATTTTTCTGGCCTATTTGCTCCGAAATAAAAATCTGGAAAAATTACCAATTTTTGTCCAAAACCATGGACTAACCCCTTTGGAAAAAACCCAATTTCTAGACTTTTTGAACTTCTTCTTTTTATAGTCTAGAGAGGCGTTTCTTCTTTCTAGGATATCGTAAAACACATTTGTTTCGCCTATTTTTTACTTTAATGCTCCAAGAATGCGTTGTTGGAATGTAAATGTACAAACAAGTAATTAACTAGAGAAGTGCACTTAAGCAGAATCAAATGACTGATGTTTTTTATTAATTTTGTTTAGTTTACAATGTTAGTGCTCAGTTCTTATGGCACATGTTGTCTAGCTGAATAAGTTAGTGATCCAGTTTCAAGTTTGCTTACCAAGTAGTGATCTTTTTAGTACACACCTACCCTGTTTCCAGAGGATTTTCTTTCTTTTTCTTTTCTTTTCCCCCCACGAGAGCAGTGTTTTCCTTATCAGGAGGTAACCTGTACAATTTACTGCCTGAAGCAACACTTCTGACTGTCTGCAACCGCTTGAGGGTTTGCTAAAATTAAACATGTAGTTTAAAAAATTTGCAAGTTGTGATCCGATCTGATTCTCACAAGGAAATGAATGAATATATGGAAAAGTACTAAAGTTTACACAGCTTTTCTTTTTTTGGGCCACACATTTTGGAAAGAGAACATTGAAGACAGAGTAAAATTATTTGAAGTAAATGTTTTAAGTTGTTGTCTAAAGATAACAATGACATGATTTGGGTTAAATAGGTCTTAAAGTGAGGGAATGACGTTTCAGGGAACTTAGTTCCTAAATTTCCTAGCGAGAGCGGGGCCATTTTGAAGAATTTGACCCAAGCCATTTTTGGGAGTGAAAAGGTTGAGGAAGGTCTTTGACAATGATTAAAGGAGCTGTGTTCACAAAATTTATCAAAACTCAAATGGTGGCAACTGCCACGAAATTGAGTGAAACATAAAATACAAAAGGAGGCATGGATGGATAAACTTGAAGAAGATTAAAACAGATTGTGATATTGTGGTTGTTGAAAACTTGTTAGGCAGAGCAGTTTTTTAAAGTTCACTGTAGTTGTTTGTAATGTTTGATAAGGCTTGACATGTTGCTTGGGAGACTTATTTGTTTGACGTAAAGCTGTGGTTCTGTCATTCACAAGTAATTTCTCCAGTTCTATAGCGAACAAGGATGCATAGTTGGCGTTTATAACAAAATGAACTAGACAGCTGTGATACAGCCCCTTTAAGGCTTTGTTCACTTAATGCTAATCTAGTTGTGCTTTTTTCACAGAGGAGTGGTTGGAGTTTACATCATCAGTACCCCCTCTGCCGCCCCCTCCCCCACCACCAGTACCTCCAGCACTGTTTCTTCATGATGGTGTTGATGTCTCAGAGGCTTTGCCTCCCCCTGATCCCACTGGGATGTCTACAATGCCACTAGGCACACCACAGGTTATACCGCCTCCCCCTGACCTGCAACCCATTGTGGACAAGCTGGCAATTTATGTAGCCAAAAATGGTCCTGACTTTGAGTCGATCATCAAAGCCAAGAATGATCATAGGTTTGAGTTCTTGAATCCGTGGAACACCCACCATGGTTATTATAACCTCAAGAAACAGGAAGCACTAGCAAATCAACAGCTGCAACAATCAGCCAACACTGAAGGTAAAGAACATTGATATTCCTGTTTTAAAAGGTATCAGAGTAAAGAGACGTGTTATACTACAACTAATGTAGCCACTGCAGCCACCTAGACAAAGGTGACAAGTCAGATTACAGGAAAATAACAATGCATTCCAAGAAAGTTGATTGTGGGTCAATCACCAGCTCATAAGAAAATAATGAGTTACTTGAAGCACAAAATTTAAATATTGATAGCAAAGGCGTTTCCAAGAAAGGAAAATCTCTAGTTAGGCAATGTTTTCCTTTCCAAAACTTTATAATACCCAGGAGACATATTTGTTTGACAGAAGCTGTTATTTTGTCATCTATCAGCAATTTCTTCACTGACATTGCCATTCTTTGCAATAAGGTGCAACGTCAAGTAACAAATATAACAAGTTCATGTTTTCACCTTTATCAATCACTCTAACAGAGTAGACCCTTCAAAAACACAGGTTTTCTTCAGTGGGTTCAAAAGGTCAGGTCTGTAGGTTGTAATTGGTTGATTTTGATCCATGCTGCAGGGCTCGAAATTAAAAAATCCTTAGGTTGCCTTTTGGCGACCAACTGGAGAAATATAGTTGCCAGATGCAAATTTTAAGTTGTCAGTTTGTGTAATGTAAATGATGCAGCTCATAGTATGGCGTGATCCAGAGATAAACTGGCTTTGCTTATGCTATTTAGCACATTTTGTTATGATGAAAGCAAAACAAGATAAGATGAAATGTTTGTTTTAAGTTTACTCTTTAAATTTAAATTTAGTCATACAGAAATCTGGTCGCCAAAGTGGTGACTCAACCAGAATTTTTAGTCACAAAAGAGAAAATGTTAGTTGCATTGGCGCAGAATCAGCCGCAATTTCAAGCCCTCTAGCACTGATATTGTTTTGTGGTAATTATTTATTTTATTCTCTCAGAAAACGGAATGAACATTGAAGTGTCCAAAGGACCTATAAGTTTCTCAATAAAGGCTAAAGAAACAAAGAAACCCAAAATTGAGTACAGGACGAGTGTTATCTACAAGCAGAGTTGTGAGCAAGGTGAAAGTGACGAGGAAGTTAATGAGGAGGGATCAGAAGCAGAGTGTAAGGAGAAGAGTGAAGCCAATGGAAGAAAACCAGAACAGGAGACTGCTGTAAATAGTGGCTCCACATCGACAGAAAACTCAGCTCCTGAGGTGGACTCTATCAAGGCTGCTGAAAGAATTGGTATGAAGGACTGTTTTTTTTTTCTTCTTAGCACTTTAGGCCTCTAGTACAATTATATCCATATACAAATTCTCCAGGTTGACATCCATAGATTCCCTTAAAGATCTTGAGAAAGGATCAACACATTTTCCCCTTAAAGATTATTTTATCATTTCTCATAACCTCTTCTCTTGATAAGGTATTGATATTTTTGGGAGAAGATTGATGTTGGTCACTCTTGGGATTTAAAGGGTTACTACAGTTTAACCACGTGACTTGCCTAGTTCCCAGGCCTTCAAATTGTCACAACACAGTCAAGGTGTATCGTATGGGTCACGTGATGCAAGCAAAGAGTCTTTCAATTCTTATGTAACTGAAATGAATTGACCATGCCGGCCTGGGGAAAGCTGTACAGTTACTAGGTAACCCCTTGTTCACGCCATTGATTGTGGTTGATTGAGAAAGATTTTCGAAGGAGGTGCGGCTATGTTTTAGCTATGCCTACCTTCTATGTTTGTCACCATAATATTGTAATTGTCTCTAGGAGTGAACTTGACTGACATGCTTATTATTGTACAGCCCAACATCTGGAGTCTGAATCAAGAGATAAACAGCTTCAAATAGAACGACGAAGGAAAGCGTCACTCTTCATAAGTATGCTCAAGAAAACCAACCCAGGAGATGAAGTGGAGACAAGCCAGTAAGAAACGTACAAATAGGCAACAATATTCCATGGTCATTGCAAAATTTGAACGTTAGACGTCATTTCTATGATGAATAAGAGTGTAGACCGTGCAAATTGTTGTCTTTTTACTTTTTGGCTTTTACAATAACAACATCTATTTCCGGCCAGATTTCTTGAAAAAGTGCGCGCGAGAGACCTAGAAGGTCAGCGAAAAAATTGCGATATCGCGTCATTTGATAGACCATAGCTCCCGACCAATCAGCGCGCGAGAAATCGCTCAGTTATTTGAAAATTGATAGTATTGTAACAATATTATAATCAATATTAATTTTGATCTCTTTAGCTTACAGCAGCAGTTACCGGGCGCACATTCACTGTTGATTTGCAATTTTGAATGAGACGACTCAGGCGAAATGATTAGTTTCTAAAAATATCAATTTTTACTCTTTGACTCTTTGGGCCCCAATTTTGTTTTTGTTTCAAAAGATTAAACTTCTTTTCTCACTAGAAATTTTAGTTTCAAAAGATGCTGAATCCAATTTATTTATCGTTTTTTCTTTGGCCAACCAACTTTCTTTTTTTTTTTTTGCATCGCTGTTTGTGAAAAAAGTAAACAAAAAGAATATACAAATTGTGATCGTTATTACCCGCCATCCTTACAGAAAGCGATGCCATGTGGTGTCTCAGGGGGTAAAAATCTTTTAACTTTACATTTTTCTAGCAGCCGTTTAGTTTGCACCGGTTCAAGCGCGATTTCCAAGAATGTACTGATCAAGAGTGTTGATTACCTTTAAGTGTAACTTTGTTCATTGGCTGCCATACTTTATCTATAGTAAATATTGTATTGAAGAAACGTAGCTAAAATAACAGTATTTTTAACAGGTCTTCGCAAGAAAATTTAGTACCATCTGGGAGGACCAGAAAATTTATGGAAAAACGACAGGATACACGGTAATTAGTAATTTCTGCAACTGTAAAATAGTAGAGACATCCAGAGAGATTTAAAGGAAAGAAATCTTGCGTCAAGATAAACTTATTGCTGTGCGTCGTGTGAAGTCATTTCTCTTTGGACATTTTATCTTCCTTCTCCTCTTTCAATGGTATTTTTTGATGTTGCGGTAGCTACCAGCTGCGCCGTGGTGATCGAGAAATAGTAAAGGAAGAGAGAGAGAACGCGCACGCGTGAACAAGGAGGGAGGAGGCACCTTCATGCAAGTAGCTTTGCCACGCAGGTTGATCATGTTGTTATTGAGTGATCGAACTTTTAAAACCGTTTAGTTCTCGCCAACCTTCAGTTTGAGTACTTCCTTCCGTATTTTTATCTTTACTTGATAAAGGCCTGGCCCCAGTTGTTCAAAAGCTGGATAGTGCTATCCATTGGATAAATCTCTGTCCAATGGAAAGTGCAATTGGTTTCCCTAATACTTATCCGCTGGATAGTGATTCATCCGATGGATAGCGTTATCCAGCTTTTGAACAACTGAGGCCAGGAGAGTAATTAGAAACTTACGCCTTCTGTCTTAGATCTGAGTCTCCTCCTTTGAAAAGAAGCCGCATTAGTGATGACGATAGTGATTCACTGAGTGGAGGAGTTGGGTCTCCATCTCCTGGCAGCATCCGGGTTACTCAGGTCAGTATTTCATGGTGCATTACTAGTGCATTGGAGCGTACACTAAGACTGTTGTAGTTCAGTCTTCGAGAGAACTTCACCAAGAGTAATAAGTCGCTCTCTTTAACGAAAATCCTCCTTTGGGAGTGGAAAAGTTGAGGCAAGACGTATTTGGTGTGCCCTTTTCCTTACTCTGTTTCTGTATCGATAGTCACTAGACGTTTATATAATATTATAGTGTAGCCTATGTAGCAATCGTTTCCATATCTTTCTAACCGAGCGGGGAAAGCGCCAAGTCGCACGAGGGCACGAGGTAAAAAGGCGCTCCAGTTTTTCCTTTGTCCTCACTCGTCTCTTGCTTGGCTAAAAGGGAACAGAAATGACTGCCACGTGTGCTTATCTTTTTGAAACCCTTTATTTTTAACACAGGATTTGATGGCAAAGGTGTTGGCCGCTTCTAGAAACAAGTGACATGATTGGAGCACCGATTGCCTGACCGGGCAGATTGGCTTTGTAACTGAAGCCTGAGTCAACCTTCATCTCGTCACAGCTGGACTACAGAGGCCGCGCTACTTCGTAGGCTAGCCTCACGCCTCAAGTCGAAGGAGGACAAACTCAGACAGCGGAGAGTTAACACCATGTAACTCTGTGCCACAAGAAATAACCATGTACAGTGTAAACAGGTTATGTTTATAAAAATGAAGAAAAGGTGTAAATACTGACAGTCCCTTTTCTTAAATTTCTCGAATAAAAAACCACCATGGACTAACCCCTTTGGAAAAATCCCAGTTTTTTTAACTTTTTCAACTTCTTGTTTTTATAGTCTAGAAAGACGTTTCTTTCTTCTAAAATATCGTTAACTATTTTTCTGGCCTATTTGCTCCGAAATAAAAATCTGGAAAAATTACCAATTTTTGGCCAAAACGATGGACTAACCCCTTTGGAAAAATCACAATTTTTCGACTTTTTGAACTTTTTTGTTTTTATAGTCTTGAAAGGCCTTTAGTCGTTCTAGAGTATCGTAAAACACATTTTTCTGGCCTATTTTCCCTAAAATAAAAATCTGGTAACATTACCAATTTTTGACCAAAACCATGGACTAACCCCTTTTGAAAAACTCCAATTTTTGGACTTTTTCAACTTCTTGTTTTTATAGTCTAGAGAGTCGTTTCTTCTTTCTAGAATATCGTAAAACTTTTTTTCCTGGCCTATTTTCCCTAAAATAAAAATCTGGAAAAATTACCAATTTTTTTTCCAAAACGATGGACTGACCCCTTTTGAAAAACTTCAATTTTTGGACTTTTTCAACTTCTTGTTTTTATAGTCTAGAGAGGCGTTTCTTCTTTCTAGAATATCGTTAAACTTATTTTTCTGGCCTATTTTCCCTAAAAGAAAAATCTGGAAAAATTACCAATTTTTGACCAAAACCATGGACTAACCCCTTTGGAAAAAACCCAATTTCTAGACTTTTTGAACTTCTTCTTTTTATAGTCTAGAGAGGCGTTTCTTCTTTCTAGGATATCGTAAAACACATTTGTTTCGCCTATTTTTTCTTTTGAAAAAAATGTGGAAAAATTTTCAAGTTTTTACCAAAACTATGGACTAACCCCTTTGGAAAAATCACAATATTTCGACTTTTTGAACTTCTTGTTTTTATAGTCTTGAAAGGCATTTATTCGTTCTAGAGTATCGTAAAACACATTTTTCTGGCCTATTTTCCCTAAAATAAAAATTTGGTAACATTACCAATTTTTGACCAAAACCATGGACTAACCCCTTTTGAAAAACTCCAATTTTTGGACTTTTTCAATTTCTTGTTTTTATAGTCTAGAGAGTCGTTTCTTCTTTCTAGAATATCGTAAAACTTTTTTTCCTGGCCTATTTTC